GTCTGTTTGAACTCTGCAAGAGGGTGCAAGTGCTACTCAGAAATATGATACTTTTTGAAGCAACAACCTGTGAATCTACGCGGGACCGGCAAAATCAGCTCGTCAATCCATCACCTATTCAATGTTCCAGCAGTTTTATGATGTTGACTCTTTACCGTACACCTATCGTAATCGCCCCAGAAAAACCCACTGGCTATTGATAAGCAAAAGAGGTGCTACTCTAGTATTCAATTAGCGAATATCTTGCAGAGTTTGATGTTTCATGGACGATACGTTTTTGAAGAGTAGGTCCGGACAGTAGCGCGGACATCTGTTACAAATATGCGCCTACATAGGTTACAGGTCGTGCCAGATGTCCTTGTGGAGCTTACCGAAGCACGGTTTCTGCCCTTATTTTTCGATGAAGGTCTGCCCGTTGCGGAATAGATATGAAGCAGTGGCGGACCGAGGGGTAGGAGAGTCCCCCCACCTGTGAATGGGTCGCGAAATATTTGAAAATTACTTACATGGGTTACAAAAATGTGCACGTGACTTGTTTATTATCGTAAACAACTATATTTTTGAAATTTTTCAAAAATTTAAATTAGCGTGAAAAATTTTCTCGGGTGTGGCTGCCGCCACGTCCCCTTTTTCTGGATTTTGGGGTTATGGACCCGTGAAAATTTTGAGACTATACCAAAAAGTTTCCGGACTGCATGGCTAACGCCATGCACCTTCATTCGAAGATTTTTTGCCCCCCCCCCCCGGACGGAAATCCTTCGACTGCCACTGGTATGAAGATATTTCTTTTGGAGGCAGACCATTCATAGCACAAGAGATGAAATTTTGTGAAAGAATTTTTTTCGAGGAAAAAAAGGTCATACCTCGTTCAAAACCGCACATTTCCTAAATAAGGTCCGATTCGCAGAACCCGACCCGTGCTGACAATAGAAAAATATTATTGTGTAAGAGCTGCTGTGTCAATATTGAAAACAAAACAAAAGCGGTTCAGTCTGAATTGTCAATTGTGTGTTGTGTCAAAGCGCGAATCGATTCGTGTTACTAAATCAGGCCATCGCTTTTCGTTTGGTGCAGTTCGTGTATAAGTTTTGCAAAATTTTCGCTGAAAACCGGTCATGCTCGAGTGGAAATTTCTATTTTTCCAATTGTAGTTGTTTTTTAACGGAAAAAACGCGTCCGAGTTTGTTTTGCTCGGCAATTCTTACGAGTAGACGCCGCGTTTGCACTTTGTATGGTGACGTGGAATAGCTCGTGTTTTTCTCCATTCGTCGTTCCATCGCGTTTGCTGGCCGATCGTTCGCTGTTCAAACCTCTCTGTCCATTCATTTCCTTTTTAGGAGACTTTGCAATTTCTATTCGAACTGGTAACATTTCACATGACATCAGATTATGTCAAAGCTGGCACTCAAAAAAATTCTTCCAAAAGTTTTTTGGGGATCAGATAGAAAATCCGGCAAAATTTTTTGGTCCTCAACATTCATCAACGTTTCCGTTTTTTCGTCATTATTCAATTATATTAGTGTTTTGAACAAGCATGTGTGGCAAATGAAAATTTTTCCCGTCTAGATTTTTTTCTTAACTGGAAGTCTTGAGGAGTTTTTAAAACTCATTTCTTCAATCTGTTTTTTTATCATATTTTATATTCCCATAATTACCATTCCTTATCAAATCATACCATTAATTTATTATATATCGAGCATTTGTGGCAAAACATCTTAAAAATACGAATACTTTTCTAACAATATTTTTTTGACAGCTTTCATTTTTCAAAGACTGCGATTCTTTTTTCTTAATATTGTTTTAATACCATCAATTTTTCATTATCAAAATCCAATTTTTTAAGTATCGAGAGAACTCAAATGTTTTACAGCAGCTCTCAGTAATTGCTGTTTGTAGAGCGAAAAACAGATACATATAAGGATTACTATGATGTGATTTTGACTGTGGATTCCATATTTTTCGCAACACTTCATATTTTTGAAACTAATTTCATATTTTCCGCAAGTCATCCTTTTGAATCTGAATTTCGTATTTTTCAAGCATAAAACGATGATTATGGCTAGTTCAATAATTTCTTTATCACGATGGAATTGCGCACTATCATTAATTTCTCATAACATGCATGTGCATCAAAAAGTTCTAGAAAATGCAGAAAATAAAATACGGATGTTTTTCACATTTTTGTTATTTTTCATTGTTTGGTTGTTTTTCGAGGTTATGAACGAAGACGAGGAAAATACTTAACAGTTTCTATCACACGATTTTTCACTTTTGAACTCCATCGAAGAAAACAAAAAGAAACCTAAAAGAGGGAGAAATTTAGAAATTTGGTTGTTCATTCTAAAAGTTGTTTTGTGTCTGAATTGCATATATTTCATTAAAAAAATGAAATGAGGATAAACTTTGGTTTTCGTACTCATACGGGGGTCAGAAACAAAAATGTAGTTCGTGCGGAAAAGAGAATTGTCTTCAATGTACTACAAAATAAATCGTTTTGGAGTGATAAATTTCCCTTTTTTGACTGAATCGATAAAATTATACATTTTTATAAATAAACAATCACGTGCATCAAAATGTTATCCGTGCCTATAGGATTGCATAATTTTTGTGAGACTGTCCATGGACATATATTTTTCTCTCCTTTCAACCATGTTGTTTACGCATTTTGCAGGCATCAACTGCCTCGCTTTAGAGTGCAGTTTGCATGCGTAACTACGTAAAGTCCACTGTCTAGTGTGTAAGTACACTTTTGCGTAAGAGCTCAACTAGATCAAACATCCAGCGTTACGACAAAAACATCGTTCAAGTTTAATAGAAATTTATCAATTTTTTCGCTAGACGTACTTTCAATAAATAATATCATAGTTCATACTCTGTCGCTTGAACTTGAGCTATTAGTAAAAATAAAACCTTTTTTATTATCAATTTCTTGCATCAGTATTTGGGGTCTTTTGAAATGAGGTCTTTGTATTTTCAAAGGTCATGTTAAGTTGTCAACTGTGATGTAGCGGGCAAGTTCGGCGACGCAGAGAATGCATGAGCCGCGCCCGCTGCCGCGGCGCGGTAGCGATCTCGAGTACCAGAAGTGGGAACCCAAGGGCGCAGAAGTAAAAAACGCCATCCCTGCATTTTTAACTACTTCATAGCGAAATTCTGAAGTTTTGTAAATTACTTTGAAATTATATCAAATTTTCAAGTTTTTGTGTCATTTCCGAAGCACTAAACCATCGAAAATCTAAAAGGTTACGGTTTTGCTAGATCTTGAATCAAAGAGCTTGTTTATTCTCGCAAGTTGATAACGAGATTCAAGTTTTTAACGTTGTAAATGTGTCCATTTTTCTTATGAAATTTTTAGAATGCTGCTCAAAGATCTTCGGAGATTTTTCAAGATCACAAAAACTCAAAAAATTTGACGCACAATTTCAAAAAATCAAAGTATCTCATTTTATCAATGCAGCACAAGGCCTGGCACCACCTGAACGGGCCAAGCTCGATATCATTTTTGGGCAAAAAGCGAAGGGGGTATCGTTTTTGTGGCCAAAAAGACACAAAAATTGTAAAGTTCCTTTTTTAGTCGACTGTTGGTTTTTTGACGGTTTTTTTACGTCTAGGGTTTAGGGTCAAAGAGGACTTCGTAAAACTCAGGAAAAGTCAAGGGGGAGTTCGTTTTGAAAATTTTTTGGTGCCAGCTTGTACCGAGCCCTGATACAGCAATTGAGAAGCTTGAATGATCTCTGTACAAGATTAGTGAGCAGGTTCAAAGCTCGGATATTCAGTGGTAATGGTCCAGTTAGTAAAAACTTGTATTCAAGGGTATTCTGTCATCCTGTTTCTGAACATGTTGGTGTTTTTGCTAGAAACCTTGATTTTTTTTCGAATTCTAAAATTGCTCCTCACAAATTTTCCATTGAGAATTTTCAAAGTGTTTTTTAAGGGTTTTCTTTGATGCTATATTCGAACATTGGTTTTCCTTAAAAATTTGAAACTCTTTTTTATATCGAAGTTCTAATTTTTTTATATATTCATTGCAATTTTGGTAAAACTAATATTCAAGGGCTTTTCGACATGATGTTCCCGACAATAATAGAAAAACTAAACATTTTTTCTGACAAATTTGGAGCGAAACTGATAGAAAACAGTTCGAAATTCCAAAAGAAAAAAATTCCAGTGTTACAAGCACAACCACCAGCATTTTCGGAAATCGCATGTCAAAATACCCCTAAATATGTATTTTACCAAGTTCGCAGTGAATTTCAAGAATAAGACGTCGTAGAAAAAACGTTTCGACGTTTCAAGCAAAACCATTAGCATATTAGGAAATAACATCGTGGGCAACCTGTATGGCAATTTGGAATTTTTTTACTGGAAAAAACTTTCGAAAACAAGTCTAGAATCGGAAAAATTTCAAGGTCTTGAACAAAACCACTATCATATTCGGAAACAGCATGGCAGAATATCTTTGAATACAAAAGGTGGCTTTTGAAAATGCAAAACAAAGTCCCCTTGACTTTCGCAAATTTTTACGAAATCTCTATTGACCCTAAACTCTAAACGTAAAATTCTTAAAAAACGAAACGTTGACTAGAAAACTTCACAATTTTTGTGTCTTCTCGGCCTCAAAATCGATACCGCTTTGCTTTTTGTCCCAAGAACGATATCCAGCTTGCTTACAAGCCACATATGCCGAACCCTGACCTGCTTTGAATTCGAATTTGCTAAATTCCCGGTCATAAGGCGAGAGAAATAGTGAAGAGTACTACTAATATTTCCAATTCGATTTCTTTCAGTAATCTGGTTTCGAAAGTCTTCACTCGAGGGGGTGGGGTGTCGATTCTTCTTTCCTTTGTCTGTTGAGCAATCTGTAAGCATTGCTCATTGATCGGAAGCTTTGTCATCGTTTTTTTTTCAATTATGCGTTCGTTCAGTGTTATGGTTTGAAACTCTGAATACCAAGTTTATAAATTCTAAAGAACGTTTTCTTATTTATAAAATTTGTTGCAGATCCATCCAAATCGCTCAAAAAATGTTCATCAGTCAGCTGGTCATAATCTTGGCTATCGTCTTCATATTGCGATTCTTATTCGGTCTAATCAGGCTTTCTTTCATGAATGGTAAGTTTCTCGTTTTAGAGCGAACAAGTCCTTTGAAGTTGTCAAATATATCAATGTTTCCGTCTAGAAATTACTGACTTTTGGAAAAGAATGACAGCGATTTCCAAATTACAGTAATCCTGTCCATTTTTCAGAAATTCTTTCATCACTAACCTGGTTGCTCATCGGCGCACTTGTTGTATGGATGTTCTGTCGCGCCACAAACTCTTACCCTCAGGTGGAGAAGATGGTAAGATATTATTTTGTATCTATTTTTTGATCTACCATTTTTGACTAAGCGGTGTGATGCAAATCTCCAGACTTTCTAGATTTATGGCGTGACTAGTTTTTTGTTTGTTTTTCATGTGTATCCCGATTTGATTAACATATTTATAGGTGGAAAGATCTGTCAACAGGATATGGTTGTTTCTATTGAAATCCCCAGTGGGCAGAAATCTACATCACCTTGAAGTTGCTCTTTCGGTAAGTTAATCAGTTGGTAGGATAAGTCTGCTAATGATGGATCACACTCGGGGAGTTTTGGGGGTTTGCGAGGTTTGAAATTTCCAAGAATGGGCAAAATTAGTGTTTTTGAAAATTGCGAAAGCTTTGAAGTGGTAAAAATCGGTAAAGTCGATAAGTTAAGGATATTTAGGAAATGTGTCGCAAAAAGCGGTCAAAATTGACTTTTTTTTCAAATTGCACTTGAGGGACCTGCAAAAAATAAGGAGTGTTCATATGTGAAAAGGACGTTCAAGCTGATTTTTAAAAGAACTATAGAGCATCTTTGGATAATCGTATTTCATGAATTGGCGTAGTTTCCCTTTATTTTATGAATGTTCCAATCTCAAGGGTTCAAAATGAGTTTGAGGTTGACTTGGTTGACATACAGATTAGCTGTCAAAGATTTTTTCCAATTTATAAACCCTCTTCTCAACCCTGGTTGCTTACTGAAAAGCGACTCAAGATCAGATTATTCGATAAAAATTGTACACTTTTATTTTCAGCTGTTCAGAATTGGTATTTATTTGATTTTCGGAATTTCTTGGCCATTTGCGATGGCCAGCCAAGAATTGTCACTATCTTGTAAAGAGATGCAAATAAGTTCCGGGGAAACTGAACTTCTAAAACTTCCCGGGAGGGGGGCACTTTTATTGAAGCCCCCCGTTAAGGCGGGGCCAGATAGGGCAGGGCCCACCCACGCGGCCCAGGAGCGTCTCCCGGAAGTTCCAGAAGTTCAATTTCCCCGGAGTCATTTGCGATTGTCTGAGTTCTTGTCAGAGCAGCTGAGTACAGACAAAAAGAAAGTTCTTTAATAATTTCCCATTAGAACATCTTGAAATGTTCTACTTGGATGTTATATTAGTGTGGCGAATTTTACGCAGAAAATATGGATATAAATGGTTGGGGAAAAATTGACCACATATATCAGAACATTTCGAACCGGTATTTTTTCATTTGGATTTCCTACCAAAGTAACAATTTTAAAATGATCACAAAATTCGGATAAGTTGACTATGAATTCCTTTGGATTTGTACTTATTCATTGATTTTATACTAAAATAAAGGATTTAAAATCCTGAGCCAGTGATTAGATTGTCGTAGATGAAAAAAATTGACTATAAATGCACTACAGAAATCTAAATTGGTTTTTATTTGGATTTACCGAAGTAAGAGCTTAACAATTCAATTAGTGTATAAAAATTCGCTCAATCAGTAATGCAAGCTTCAGTTACTTCTGATTTAATATGTACCCTTTGATTCAACGAGATTGGCAGCTGGAAGGCGGGACTTCGTGACCTAAAAAATATTAGGTAATGATCAGAGAGCACTCGCGCGGGAGAGACGCAGACTGCGCGGGCACGAGCGGCCTTGATCAGGTCCCAAAGCCCCGCCTTCCAGCCGCCAGGCCTGTTAAATCAAAGGCTATGTAATTTCTGGTTTTGATGAATATGTATCTCTTTCTTGTATAAATCACTCATAAGAAGACAAAAGAATATTCTTTCGTCGGGACTTCCTTTACTCAATGTGGTCCCTGTTTTCCCCCGATGATGTATCCAGATTTGTTTTTTTGATTTCAGAAAGCTTTGTAAACGGCTTCGCTAACGATCTGGCAAGCCAGCAGAGCTCTCAAGAGACATCACACTTCCCACACCATCGTTTTGCTTATGTTCGATGTCTGCCGTTGTAATTTTTCTTCTCTAGTTGAAAGCAAGTTTCTGTCTAGAGACTTTTTTCTCTTTCTTTCTAGTTGTTCTTTCTCACTTATTTTATTGCCTTTATAAAAAAAACTCATGCATGTTTGATTTGAAGGTAAATAATCAATAAAAGTTTCAATCATTATGTCGATTGTAGACAAGGTCAAAGAAGAAAGTATGTTTTCTCGCAGAGAAAATAGATTTTTTTGTGGAAAAAAAACGCTGCTCAGAGACTAGAATTATGAAGACAACAGTATCACAGATGATTAAGTCCACTGGGATGGCCAAATAAAATGGATCGGATGGTATATTTTTGGCACACAGGCGGTCAATTTGGGGGCGGGGCGGGAGCGATAAAATACAGAACTACTCGATCAGCAAAAAAAAACGCTTAAAATTGAGCATGTAATGATTTTGGTAGAAATACAATTAGGTGATAGAGAAGATAGGTTGTTCGGAAAAAAACAGATATTTTTTCCGACAAAAAATGTGACTAGAGAATTTTTTAGGAGAAAACTGGCACATAAACTCAAAATCAAGTAGATTAACACATTTTGCAGTGATAATTAAGAAAGATGAGGCAGACAGCAAAACCGCCAACGGATAGCGGAATGATGACGAGCAGCACGATCAACGATGAACTCTGATTTCGTCCAACTGGCACTTCCTGAAAAGAAAAAGATACTGTAATGAGAAGTGTTGTCGAAGCAATCGTGAGTATAAGCACATCAAATCATGTCAAGAATAAGCAAACTATGTCCTTTGTCTACTGAGTAATTCTAAAAATCAAAAAAGTATCAAAAGGTAGTCAACATAAAAATTGCTCTAAACTACCAAATCTTATTAGCAATATGCTAATGGTAACATTAATACCCGTTGATTCAACCGGCTTGGCGGCTCGAAGGCGGGGCTTCGTGACCTAATATAGGCTAAGTAAAGATCAGAGAGCACGCGCGCTGCACAGACGCAAACTGCGTCGCAGGCGCGAGCGGCCTCAATTAGGCCACAAAGCCCCGCCTTCCAGCCGCCAAGCCAATCGAATCAAAGGTTAGGTTGGAGCAACACTCCTGCACCAAAATTTCAAAAATCGGTATGGTCCAGATCAAATGAGGCTTTTCGATATTATAAGGCTAGGTCAAGGATAACATTTCACATTCCAGTGTTTTTTTCACAAAAATCATTGGTTATGTGGCGCACTAAAGGGTTTTTAGCTAAACATTCAAAATAAATAATTATGAATTTGACGCTAGCATTGCTCAAAAGTCAACAAACTTCTAATTTTATTTCTGTTTTTTTATGTACTTTTTGTAACTAAAGTAAGATCGTAGATCGCATCGGGATTTTGATTATGACCGGACGTTTCCAAAAAGGCTCGAATTTTTCGAACTTCTTTTTTCCAATCTTGAGATTGTTTGTAAAGAATTTATAATTGGTAAAAGACGCTAGTGCAAGACTTGTGCTCCAACCTAATATATTTTAGCTACCGAAAGCAATCATAAAAATCACACAAAAATACTGACTGTTGTTTGACACGGATCGTCCTAAAAACATGATATCTCATTAGCAATTTGTCATTGGCAGAAACATCTAAGAAGATAATTACGGAAAAACGATAGACCTTGAGAAACTCTCCTTTGTCAAAATTCAAAGAACTATCTGACTTTTTAACTTTGGACTTTATGGTGGCTGAATTTATCTGTTGGACAATCTAGCAATGGTAGTGACTTAGATTTTCCATCTATGGGGAAATCCAGATCTAATTTCAAGATGAAAGAGTAAAGAGACTGTACTCACGGCCATTAGCGGTGGAGAGCATTGCAGTAAACTTACAAATTTAAAAATGGCCTTATGTTTATTTTACCTTGTTCTCCTCCGGTCTCCTATTAAACATTCACAAGTATTAAATATAAGAAATTTTCAGTGAATGATTATGTCAAATATAGTGAAAATGAATAATTGCAGTCAAAACAATCTTTCTTCTGATAGTGGAAAAATTTTCTCAACAGACTTGTAGTTGGTTTGAAAAATCATGAGAAATGTGGAAAATTTCTTGACGAAAGTTCACAAGATGGCTTGAAAAGACACAAGAAATCTAGAAGATTCTCTTGATAAAAGTCTCCATGGAGATGACTTTGTGTAACGCAATATAACAACTGCGATGTCTTGATACGATCAAGAAATCTTTCTTTTCTGTAAAATTGCATAAATTTGAAGTTTTGTTCGTAAGCTCCAAAAATTGTGAAATACCTCGTTTTTTATGAGCTCAACAAGCTCACAACTTTGAGGAAAGACTAAAGAAAGTACTAGGAAAAATGGGATGGGATATTCGCGCGCGGTCGCGAAGCGGATTGGCGGGAAACACAGCTTTGGATACACTCGCGTTTCTGTTTTCCCCAAAGTCTCATTGTGTGCTTCTTGTACATCGCAACTCAACAAATAAAATTTAATTTTTCAATTTTTGACAAAGACTATAAGACTTTGAGAAAATTGCCCCCTAGCCCACCCTGACAAGCTTTATCCGTGCCCGCGCAGTTAGCCATGATTAGCTCGTCGCCGTTTCGGAGCCCCGTGGGAAAAGTTCTTTCAAGCGAAGTACAATTTCTGCTGCTTTTGCGGTCATGATAGATTGGAGATGGGAGCAGTCCTGTCAGAAGTCTGGCTTTTGATAAAAAACACGGAGATTACGTGGGAGGGTTAAAGAAAAAATATTTCCAGAGAAATTTTGATTGTGAGAATGAATTTTTTGGATGAATTAATTTGCTAATGCAATGATTCATGAGCTGGTGTCAATCTGACTGAGGCGTCAAAAAATAGATTTTATAAAAGGGAAGCGCTTCAAAAATAGAATAAAATAAAATCAAGAATAATTAAGATTTTTCATTTTTAACCAAATTGTCGTCTTGCGGCACCGTTACAGCTCTGTTTGCCTTATATTTGTCTGAGTAAATTTTTGCTTTTGTTTTTTCATATTTTTATATAAAAACCAAAATTGTTTCTTCATTGTATGTGCTAATGTGTATATTCAGCAGTTACACTTTACTTGAAGCCCAAAACGGCATGTTGCTCTGCTGGGTCATAACGAATGAAACTTAAGGTATGTATGTCTATTATAACTAGTGAACTAATCTAAAGGTGATAAATCTGGGAACATTCGCTTCGGGACCCACCGCGGTCCCGCTATCTGATGTTTTTTGAATTGGCGTGACAATTCTATAAATTAGAATTGGATATATCTGAATATTGTCTTGCCACAGGAAAATACTTTTTGGATTTTCTAATTTTTAAATTTTTTGTCTTCTCAGAAATTTACAAAGATTGTATGTATGAGCGTTTCCGGAATTTCGCACTTGAAAGTAGTTTTTTTTTTTATTGTCAAGCGCTTCACGATAGAATTCCCGTTACAAATCTCTTCTCCATCCCCTGATAATCCCCATCTGTCTTCTTTTTCCCGCATTCCAGTTTCCGGCTCGTTTCCCCCGGCTTGCGTGTTCCACATATCTCTTGCTCGGGAAGAGAGACGTCATGCTTCGTTATGCATTGCTAGATGCTTCCTAGCGAATTCATCAGAATATTTCATATGCTCCCAGGAGAAGCGGCTAGAGCCCTGTGTGTGTGTGTGCTCATTTCTCTGCTAGATAGATTAGGAACGCTTTGCACACGGATGTAAATGCATGGGAAAAGAGCGAAAGGAACACGTTTGATGAACGATCCTTCGTTATGTTTGACGCCTTGTATAAGTAATAGGCTTGGTAGAAAATAAAAATTGTAGCCTGTAAAACCTCCTTGAACCTTATCATAACAATCAAAATCCGTTGAAGGGGCGAAATCGAAAATACTCCCTCGCAGCATCGAACTGGAAAAAAAACTTGTGATTATAAGACGGAAATCTTGCTGCCATTCATTCGGATCTTTCAAATTCGCATAAAATTTGAGTTTTTGAAGGTTTGCTCAAAATTGTTTTGTTGGATGGTGAACCATATACTATTAGTGCCACAGACTCAATGCTATTTTAATTTTTTGTTTATTTCGATGCTCGATCAGAACTCAAAATAAATTATGGCTAAATCTCGACTTGAATTTTTTTTAGCACTAGAATTACATTTCAGAAGCAAAAACGTAAAATATAGACGTAAACCTTTCTATGAACAAAATTTTTAAGTCACTGTCTAAAGTGACCTAGCTTTCTTGCGATAGAGTGTAAAAAACTTGAAAAATTCGTTTTGTTTGATTTTCGCTGTGCAGCCAATGTATGGCGTCGAAGAGCTCTTGCAAAATTCTGAAAGGCACCTTTTCCAGAATTTTGAGAGTCATAATAAATGCATCGACTGCTGTATAGAAATAATCAAATTTTGATATAAAGTCGTGTGGTATTTAAAGTACAACAGATTTTTCCAACCCTCAAAAAGACCAAGTATATTGGGTTGATACATAAATCATCCATCCAAAATTCGGAAAATTTACATTTCTTTTCCAGCTTCAAGAAAACCCTAACTTTGATATATACTTTGATATAGACTATATAAAGGACATCCTACTCTTTCAAAAGGTACTTAAAGCGAATAAATTACTAATTTTAAACTACTAATAATTCGCAATGATACAAACTGATAAATGGTCCTTGGATTTCGCTTGCTAGGATGGCTGACTCGCCTACTGAATGTTTATTTTAATCTCGTTTTTGGCGTTATGACACTTTTGAACTATTGATGATTGAACGATTCCACTAATAGTTATAATTTTCGATTTTTTACAAGCTTTTTGCTTTCAAGTCGAAATTTTCAATAATTATGATGAGATACAACTTCTACGAATGTTACATAAAGTGACTGGGGTGCTTTGAAAAAAGTATAGTATTTGTATTCTGTACTTGATCCAAGAACTATGTATCAACCTAGTGGGTTTAACCCATTGACGACGACGCCTAATTTTGCATGGCGGCGCTGTGGGACGACGCGATTTTGCACAACACTTTCGGTGTGGGGAAATTTTGCGATTATTTACGAAGTGTAAAGTTGTTCTGTAAACAACCACAATCGTCTTTTTGGACGGCGAAGTCTACGATTCCAAGAGTGCAAAAAATTAGAGAAAATACTGAACTGTGGAAAAAATACAAGATCTGGAAACATGATTTTGCAAGGGATGTGGGCCACCGGTGGTCCACATCGTCCCTGGCAGCAAAAAGAGCGTAGGCCACCGGTGGTCCACATCGTCCCTGGCAGCAAAAAGAGCGTAGGCCACCGGTGGTCCGCATCGTCGTCAATGGGTTAATCTTGTCTACAAACAACACCTAATTTGTTGCTAATCCCCGTTCGTATGGCTTTGATCCACCTGGAACATTCTACAGATTCAAATATGTCTGACACCATTTAATGGGTGTTTTCCAGACCTCTCTTAACGACATTTCTACAAACTCAATCAGCTTCATATCAGTATATCTTGTTTTTCACCCTGATATAGTAAATAATCAGTTTTTGCACAAATGCAATAAACAAGCGGAAATCATCAGCAGAACGGAAGTTTGCCAGGTGCTTATGGGTTTTACATTGAAAGGATTAAGAAAGCAATGAAATTTGCTGCAAACTGAATTAGCGTAAGCTATGGTTAGCTAATAGATCTCTGTCTCATCAAGTGACGGAAGGATAACGTCTCAGTCAGAATTTTGAGTATTTTCAAAGGTAAAATGAAGCAGCTCAATCGTTCCTTCAGCAAATTCTATACGTCTTCTAGGAAAATGCTGAAGAAAAGAGCGCCAAAGCCCCTAAAGTTGTGGCGTGAAGCTATTTTTACCCCTGAGTATCTAAAACCAATCTACCAGCAAACAATAGAGATTTTGTCTCACAGCTGCCTAACATGTGACGGTCATTAAATGTGAGCAGCAACAAAGAGATTTCTGGAGCGAAAGATACTCGGCTGTTCATTGTGAGCAAAAGAATTTGATGGCAGGATCTTTTTTTAGCAAAAATTTTTGAAAAAAGTATTTAAATATTTGTACAGTACTTGTAAGCACGTAGATAAAAAATAGCATTTTTCACGCCTGCTGTTACTCTAAACTTTTTAAAATCTACTAACATCATATTGCAAGCTATTTGCAAAAAAGGTAGAATATTTGGAGACTTTGGGCATAATCTAGCAAAGAAATAGAACGTCATACTCTCGCCCAATACCGTAATTGAGGACTTGCTGATTGGTGGGCTCATGAGGGAGTACGGTACTGGAACTTAGCGAATTTCTCTTCCCTTAAAGCGAAGAAATTTATTAGAGAAATGTAAATTGAATGCCATTGGCCTCCGCTTTGAATGCGAACTAGTTTTTTGACAAAATAGTGCACATGTGCAATTGCACATCCTACAGTGAATTTTACGAAGGCCTTTAAACTGACTATAATGAGAGGATCTTTTGGTAAACTGACCGGTCTCGTATGTAGAGGTGGATACGGTACATCTTGTTTTGTGAATTGCACAATATCACGACGATCTTGCCGTGAATCTATTGAGGAGCGGAGATAGGCAAATGTATTGCAGAAATCTTCTTCGCATTTGCAGATCTGAGAAAAACTCGTATTAGGACGAGATTACGGTAGTCGTAATAGGGGTACTGTACTTCTTGCCAATTATCGATCCGTTCTTCGCATCGGGCGTGTCCGCCGTTTAGGTACGGTATCTCACCAGCAGTGCCACAATGCTGTCGTAATTTCGGTGATTCCCCTGGAATAAGGGTTTATTGATTTATCGATCGATACCATATGAGTACACTATAAGCTTATAAAGTCGTCTTCATTACATTAAGTTTGTATTTTTTGTATTATATTGAATTCTTAGTGTTACAAATGGCTTTCAAGTGCAGATAAAATTGCGAGCTTCCACGAAAAAAATATTTTTTTCTACCTCCCCTTCCCCCATCTTCTAAAAAAGAATTTGTTGTGGCAATCTAGAGCATGCCCGTCAGCCCCGATATCAGCTCCTTAATGTGCTTGTTGATTGAAAATCTCATGAAATCATCGGATGTTGACTTGCTCTCAAGCTCATTTTGGAGCGTGTTTTGATGTGATCTAGCCCTCAAATCTTTTCAAAAACACTCGTGGCTGAGAATAATAGGAAGCGAAAATCGCACAGATTATGCCTAGGCAGTCAACATTCTTCCAAGAATACTGTAGGCGATCTAAACAGCTGGGAAGCACTTGTAATTATTGATTTTGAGTCGGAAATTAATCGTCATCTAAGCCATTTCAATACCATGAATTTAAAGTTTGCCCAATACCGTAATCCATGCGGCCTATCGCAAAGATTACGGTACCTGGGCAATACCCCAGAGCCACGGATGATTAATGGAAAAGCTCCATGGGTACTAAGGGAATGCAGTGGATAGACTATTACCTAAGCAACATCACATATTATAAGTTCACACTCCCGCCCAGTACCGTACTCGATTACAACAGAAATAAAGATTACGGTACTAGGCGAGATTTATTGTCAAATATAATTGCTGGAAAGGTCCTTTGGACACCGATTGGAACCTGTAACTAAACCATGACACCTAAGTGAGATCTCATAAACAATTGGGACTCTCACCCAAACAGTACTCGACGACGCTGAACCATAAAGAGCACGGTAAGTGGGCGAGACTTTGAGAAAGTAGTTATTGAAAAGTTTTGCGGACCGGTTGGATAAGCCATTGCATAATAATGTAATTTTCGGACCCTCGCCCAATACCGTACTCATCGAAGCCAACCATAAAGATTACGGTAACTGGGCGGGACTTTGACTTGATTTTTGGTCACAAGTGGAGTCAGCTGCTCCTCCGAGGTCTGTCTTTCATAGAAGCACGTCTTATCATAGTACTCTTCACTCATTCCTCCCCATATTTTTCTCCCCCCCCCCCCTCTCCTCCCCCCCTCTCCCTTAAGCCACATGACTGAAGAAAGATTTACTATAGCTGTGGCTGTCCTTTACGCCATCTCTCTTTCTCACGAATCCTAAAGCTTAATCGCCCTTGCATAATTATGAGCGCCAGCTCAAGCTCAGTCGATGTGATTATCATGCGAACGAAAGCAACGGGGCAAGGGAAAAAGCTTTACGAAATAACACTTCTATAGGGTAAAAAGCTCAGGGGAAAGGCTCTGAATGAGTAGTAGTGGGATTTATTGAGTGTGGGGATGGGTATAGATTTGACCATAAATATGATTGCGACAGCTGCGAATTTGAAGTTTGGCGCACAGTAGCAGAAAGAGTTCAACTCTGAAAATCGAATTCTTCGAAAATTTGGATAATATGCGTAAACCGAGAGGTTTTATATTTTTGGGTGAATCTACAGATAGAGAATTTTCTAACAAAAACGAGAGAAGATTTTTCGAAAGACGACTTGGTCCCCGAACAATTTTACGTGTGCTATTTCTGCGTTGCCAAAGCTGATAGGTAAGCTAATTTCATGTCAAGAAAATCTTTTCCATATTTTTGGAATAAAATTTTTTTGCTGATTACCTGAACAGGATCAACTTTTTGAAGAATGTAAAATTATTTCCGCCAGTGCGCTTCCACTTTGAAATGTTTTCGCAAAAAAGTTTTTTCTCATATAATTTGTCGATAAATCATCAGAGGATGAGAAACTTTCTTAAAAATTTTGGTCAAACGAAAATGGAAGGAAATTTCGCAAAAATTTCAGCAGTGCTAGAGCATGCCAAGATAAAATTCGCTGCACTTACCGTGCCAAACCCTACGAAATTTTTTAGGAGGCAAAATTAAAGTCAAAAATCTTAGAAATTTTGACTCTTTCCTAGGTAATCTTCTTCCCCTCGCGATCCACCACTACTGCCCCTATGGGTGGCCTAGAAATTTTTTTATTTAGGTCAAGTGGGCAAAAAATAAAATTTTTGAGGTTTTCCAAAATCCATATTTTTTTGCAAAAATTGAAATTATTTCTTATAATTCATGTTCCCCTGTTTTATGTTTTACTTTTCTCCAGACCAGTGTTCCAAAAAATTTGCCCTACCACGCTTTTCCTTTATTTATCTTCGCAAAAGTTTTTTTTACCCCATCCCCGAAAACGGGCTTGATCGATACTTGGGTGGTTGCAATTTTATGACTCCATTCTCGACCGGCTTCAATGGCGACATCTCAAGTGGAGAGCGCATTTAGTGCGCATGTCGAAAGAAAAGAGGAAGGGGTGAAAAAAAGCGAATGGGCCATTTGGGGGGCTGTGCCATTCAATTAGCGAATCTGACCACTGAACAATGAAGTCAGTCGTAAATGGGAGGCTATTCGGGTGGCCATAAAAATTAGTGGCCCTAAGGGAGACGGCCACGAGAAGCGGGCTGCAGAGATCGTAAAATTTTTCAGTCAGGGGGAGGATAAGTCATTGAGGCTGCTTTGATACCGTACTTCTACCGTAATTGCGAGCTATGACCTTGAATGCACCATACACAAAACAACTTGAGAAATGGAGATTCTGATTGTCGTCAAATAAAAATAAATATAAAAGATAAGAAATATAATGTAAAAACTAGTGAAACAAGTAATCTAAAGGTGCTAGATTGGAGCGTATACGAATTGTTATGGCGAAATCTCTGAAACGCTAATCACGCAAAAATGGTTCGTATTCACTACAGGACCCGCCGCTTTTCTCACTATCCGATGTTTTTTACATTGGCATTACGATTCCTTAGATTATTAGATATGATGGATGTTTTGTTAGAATATAACCTTAATTTAGTAAATGTGACATTTGCATGTTTAAACGAAACACCGTTGCCGAAATTTGGCACCCTGTAAAAAATCCCCTTTAAAAGAGCGATTTCTTATAGCGATGGCTATCTTATCCCTTGAAATCACATCCATGAGAAAATCTATTCACATTCTAGCCTTTATTTACCTACAGACATAGAGAAAAGCCTCTTAGAGATAAGAGCATCGACTGGTATGAAATTTCTAGACGACGCAAATTTTTTAGGGATGGGTTATGCCCAGAAAAGATCATGTGCATAGCGCATGCTTTCATAAAGTCCCGTATAAGGTTACAAACACTCAAAGAAAAAAGGTTGACGAAAAGACGATTATGCGGGAAAAACGGACACGGGTGAAGAAATGCTCAAAAATTTATTCATCTTGTCAGCGATTAGGGGTATTTTAAGCGTTTGGAATGTGAAGAATTGAGCCGAACGCATGTAAAATCGAGTAAAGATATATAGACGATTCATAGCACGCAAAGATTGCGGACGTGTCGGTGTCTCCGTGATCGAGCGCTCTTTCGTTCCTCTTACCGTCTGCTGTCTCTCCTATGCACAAACTATCTAAGTAGGACGCAACGGTGCCCAGTCCTTGCGTGTCATAAATCGAGATACCTTTTGGAATTTCAAAAACATGTGGCCTAAAAAAATCTAGAAAATATGCAAAATGCTATTTTTGTTGCTTTAGAATCCTAAGTTCGAAATACAAGAAATCTTTCCCGAGGGAACAGAAAAGAGATAAAAAAATGTAAGCTTTGCGTGAGAATTTTTGAACTAAGAAAGACAATTCGATTGTTTACACTAGGATAATAAGTCATAAAAATTGTTTAACTCGAAAATTTTGATGTTAAGAGAACAAAAATTGTCGCTGATAAAGAACCTGATTAGCCTATAGCTTTAAAAATTTTGGATGTGAACAAAATTTCAAAACATAGCGCCATATTTTATGACCTAGATTATGACTTCGCGAAAATACTCTGATTGTCCCGAAATTCAAAATGCAAGTTTTTTTCTTTCTCCAAGCTTTCTGCATGTATGAGAATTCAAAGAATGAAAAATTGGCAGAGCTCCAAGAACAGCTACCTTTCTTATTCTACTTTGAATTAACAAGTAACTGACTCACCGTTATCCTCTCGTCTCAAACCGATGAAACAGAAATCGCCTTGACATAGCAGATTGTCGTCGCATGAATCGCGATCGCAAAAACATTTCACTTGGCCACTTTCTGGAAATAATGAAATTTGGAAAAAAGTGTACGAAGTGGTGAAGATATGTTTACTTAGCTTTGCGGGTTCCAACATAATTTTGAGTTTTTCAAAAAATTTTCCTCGAAATTTTGACTCCTTTTCAATTATCTTGACCTAATTAATGCAACTCTCGGATCGCTTCTAGATTTTTTTCATGAAATATTCCCATCTCCCCCCTCCCTCCGCAGCCATCAACTGCTTTCGTAACTCCCAGCTATGGCTGCCGAATAACATATTGTTTTGATATATCAATTCCCAGCGCTTAATTAATTATGCTCCAGAGTCACAAAGAGACTAAAGTGAGGGCAAAGCCAAAATAGCCACGAAACTCGGATTTCATAGAGATGATGATATTTTAAGAGCCGAATAAAATAGAAGGCAGTGTCTTGGATTATTGATTTTCAAAATAATATTGATATGCTTAAAAAGCTTCATCAAAGATTCAAGGAAATCCTCATTATCATTAGCCCAGTTGACACGAATAATAATTTGAATAATAAAAATATAAATTATGGAAGTCTATGAGCAAATATAGTCCCTAGGAACAGAGTCTAGTTGATTTGACCAAATACAGTAGTGTCCCCCACGGTGACGGCAATATTTTCGGGGAAACAAATGCTTTGCCTGTGAATTGCCGGTAGCTTGCTTGCGACTTGCGCCTGAGACATTGGCAAGAAGCGCGTATTGCCATAATTCACGCGCATATGTTGTCGGCAACGTAAGAGTACTACACCAAGAATTAACTGCTCAGCTTTAATAGGAACGCCTCGACAAAAATTACCGAGTATTCGATATATGTTGATGGTCTTTTCAATTTTTATTGTTAATTTAGATAATCAATCATTCCATTTTTAAAACGAGTTTTATGTATTGCAACGCATGATTGTACTATTTGTAAATCAATAAATTATTGTCGAATCAAATTTGATCGTTTTAAAATTGATTTACGAATCAATAATTAATAATCAACTAATTCACCTGTTGTATTTATCCAGTGTGGATCGCTTTTGAGCTGAACTAAGCCTAATCAATCCTTTTAGGACAACTGTCACATCTGACTGAACTTCCCTAATCCCGGATAATCCTCGACTGCCGAGAAAACACAAAAAGCGGCGGCATTTAACCATTGACAACTGTTTGTTATCAATTACTTTGTGTAAAGACGAATGTCGAATCAACACATGTGTGTTCACCGCAAAAACACAATAATTCACGGATTCAACGACTGGATGTGCAACAGGTGTTCGAGACAGATGCCTGGAGTGATTAGCGAGAAGAAAGCGGCGTATGGTTTGATAGAATCATGCAGCTTGCAAAAACAACAAAAAAAATTATAATAACTCCTGGCTGGAAATTTGAGGACAAAAAAAAATTAAAAAAATAAAAAAGCATAGGCGACACTGTCTATACCTACTTTCTTCAAAACAATATAAAACAAAGTTACAAACAAATAAAATTTCCCTGATTTCCTCTTTTATCCGCCCCCTATTTCATCTCTCCCCCACAAACAGCGATCTAGCTTTTCATCTTGAAATGCTACCGTATGAAAGATAGATTATTCATTTGCTTTCATATTAAATGCCTGATCAAGGCCTCGGCAAAAAGTTTGAAAAATTGCCCTGCGAAATGGATGACAAGTGGCAAGATTAGGAACACGCCGCTAAAGGTCAGCAGGCAACAAATAGCAACGAGAACAATATTTTTCCTCTTCTGGATAGAATTTTGCCATAAATGTGGAATGGGAGGGAATCTATCTAATATATAAAGAAACGTAAGCCCAATTCAACGATGTGCAAATAGCGGGAAACCGCGTGGCGGTCCCAACGCGCGAATGCAATCTAGCACCTTTGACTACTGGTTCGTTTTGTAAATAATTTGTCATTATCCTTTATATTCTGAATGATATGAAGTTATAAAATACCGAAAACAAAAAGAAAATAATATAATAAGAAACAAATTTTGTGAATGTTATAGAATAGGCAAGATAATATTACAAAGATAGTCTCTGCTTAATAATAATCTATAAAATAAATAAATAATGTTTATAAACAGAACTGTTCTTCACAAAAGAGAAAAAAGTTGTAGAATTATATTGAGATACCAGAAAAACATATGCTATATTCGATGTAGTAGATTTGAAGATTATATAGTGCAATTGCGGTGACTACAACTTTCGCCTTAAAATGTTCCATTGTTGGAAAATCTAAGCGTAACTAATGGCCATAAAGCGCACATTTCCAGAACAAAACTGCTCTCCATAGGCACTATTTACGCGCAAAAGTTGTCGGCAATTTAAGTACACTATATTACTCGCCGAATTTATGAGACTACGCTGAACATCATTAGCAATTCTCGTAGCTGCTTTGAAAGAACAATTATGAACTTGCTAAAACGATAGGTTTTTGTTACATTCATTTTCAAGGTCTCTTATGAATTTTGTTCGTTACGATCAAAATCCCAAGTTTAAGTCATAATAACCAGCTCCGCCCCTTTGTGTCAACCCCGCCCACAGAGACAGCCAGGTTGCGTCAGACCGAACCACATCGGTTATAATGCAGAAAGAAACGTGCTATGATGTCAAGCTTAGGGTTCTAATCTATTTTTGCCTAAAATTCTCATTCTTCCCCTAGTCGGCCCAGATTCGGGACATTTGCTAGAGACAAAATGGTGCTTTGGGAGTAGTAGCGTGCATCGCAGTGTCCTCAAACATCCGGGCGCACTTTTGAGAGGGCGATGTCGTATAATTTATTGCAGAGCCCGTCTCGTACGAAATAAATCGGAATCAGATAAATATGCCAAAAGTTGCAAATTTCACTCCTTGAATTTCAAGCCATTTTTTCGAATTTCTAGACAGTGGGTCACAGGATTCACCATAAAGGGCAAAAATGGAAATACAACATACTTTTTCCTAGAAGTTTTACATTTATTTCTCATTAGAAAGGATGCAACAGAAAAACAACAACATACAACAACACGCCCCTCCCCCCTCGCCCCGAGAATGCGTAGCAAAATTTTTGAAGTTTACTTACATGGGTCATAAAAATGTGCAAGTGACTTGCTCAATCTTTTAAATAATTAAAATACTTTTTTAATTTTTTGAAAATTCAAACTAGCCTTGTAAAAGTTTCGGGGGCGCTGCTGCTACGCCCTTTTTTCTAGATTTTAGGGGGGCGTATCGTTACGTGTGGGCTGCCAATTAGAAAACGTCGCGCGAGACAGGCTGCCAGTGACCGCACTCGGAAAATTCAGCCAGCATGATCCGCAGCCCATAGTTTTTCAGTTTCATCCTTTATTGAGGTTCACAGACTATTCTCATATCAGTTTTCCTTAATTATTTGAAGTTCTGCCAAATGAGCTCGTCAAAGAGCAAAAAAGACACAAACTGAAGAAGGTAAAAAATTAACAATATAGAAGAGGCATTGGTAATCTAGTAGTATAAATCTGACAAGTTTTCTGCACTGCTGCTCCCCGCGTGCGATTATTGCGACGCCGCGTTGCGACGTCTTCTATTTGGCAGCCCGCACGTAACGAGCGCCCCCCAGATTTTAGGAGTTATGAGCCTAAGAAAAAAATTTTGAGAAGCCCTCCAAAAAATGAGAAAATTTTGCCGCTTTCCTCCTTCCCCCCTCCCCCTCCCTCAGATCATCCCCCTCTTTGTTCTATCTGTCATTCCCAAGCTACTCGGATTTACGTGGCCAAGAGCTGAAATCCATCCATTGTTTACAAATTCTGCCCCATGCTGTGCCGTTGACGCTAAAATCGTTCCCGAAAGTGGGAAGTGGATGTGAGAGGAGGGGGGGGGGGTCACAGGGTGATTTTTTCGTGAGTGCAACTCAATCAGAGTGCATTGTATACGACATCGCCCTCGGGTTCAATCGCTCTTATCGCAGCTGCCTCTTAATGCCGTTTTCAAAGAGGGGGGGGGGGGTGAGGAGAAGTGCCTAATCTCGTGTAAACAACTCACTCGGAGCAGCTAGACCTCCCCCCCGCCCCCCCGAATCGAGCCGAGAGGACGTTTTTCACGTTCCAATGGCCTTCACGACGACTTAATCCCCGCTGGTCTTCGAACACCCCAGCGCGGATCGAGCAGATAGATAAGCGAGAGAAGACGAGATGAAGTTGCGCACAAATGCTAGCTTAGTTCTTTGAGAGGGGGGGGGAAGGGGGTAAAAGAATAATTCCTGAGGTAACGGTAGGTGTACTGTAACAACAAGTTTCCTACAACTTGCTTGATTTGATCTTTCGGGAATTTGACTGCTTTGTAAGTCATGATAAATAATGATAATTTATAAATTAATCAAGTATAATTTTACTTTCAATTTTGTGTTATTTTTATATTTTTTATTTTGATTTTTTTAAATTTTCAAATACTTGCAATTTTTTTATTTTCAATTTTGGCGCACTTTCTGTATCATAAGTAAATAAATAAAATAAATAGTAATACTACAAATTAATAATGATTAACAATCGTCAAAAATTGACCCGTGATAGCTCATTTGCTTTGTGAGTTTTGGTACAGAGAAAATATGCACATAAAGGCCCTCAGAAAAGCAACAGATAATCAGCATAGCAGAAATCAGAGAGAGACTTGAAGTACGGTAGGTATACTGTAGCGCTGTTTGAATGTTAATAACTCTCTTGCTTCAGCGTAATTTGCGGACATTTGTCTACCATTTCAAAAATCATTTGAGCTCGGCCTTATAGCATAGAAAAAATCATCTCTCTCTCTTCGTTACTATAGGACTACGGTAGGATTTTTGTAGAAGTTTAAACTTTGAGGGCTAAAAAGTTTAAACATTGCTGTAGGAGAAGCCACAAATAATCTGGAGCCTTTTCGTAAGTTACATAAGCAAGACTTGCAACTTTACCATAGCTCGCTCTTTTCGAGGTTACGGTAGGTGCACTGTAACGACAAGTATCCTTCAACCTGCTTGATCTAATCTTTTTGAGAAGCTAACAGATAAGAGAAGTTGACAGT